CCTCAGGTGTGCTAGCTCCGGGCGCGGCCGCCGCTTCCCGGGGAGCGGCCGGCGCGCCGGGGCCAAGTTTGGGCTGCACTAGACGAACTGAAGGGAACGAAGAGCTGGGTGTGCGCTCGCGAAGCTCGGACGTCTTTTAGCTGCCCCGGGAGTCCTTCCTCTCCTACCACGGGTCACTGTCTGTCCAGGGCCCGGCTGAGGAAGCTGTCCGATTCCTGGGCTCCGCGGACCAGCAGCGCAGAAAACTAGACCTGTCAGGCCCAGCCGCAGTCTGAGGCAACCCGGAAACCCTTCCACCTTCCCGACCTGCGCCCTGGCCCCGGCTGCCCATTGCCCAGGCCTCCTCGACCCCCTACACCCTGTCTCCGGACTCCCTAACACCGCCTACGTTCTCGAGCGGGGATGATGCTATGGGGCGGCAGGGAACCCTGGGCCAGCCCACAGGGGCTTGGCCCCGACTCCTCATTCCGCGCCGCCTCCCCAGAGTAAAGTTCAGATTCCAGAGCCTCCTCCCAGTGACCACCCAGCCTGGATCTCCCTCTTCTTTGTCCGAAGGAGCCTCTCTTTTAAGGGAGAAGCCGACACCTGCAGGGAAGCCCCTCCCTCCAGGGAGCCTACCCCTCAGCAAGATCTTGCCCCCTCAAAAATCGCTTTCCCTCTGACACCCCTCCCCTGCTGAGGGACCTTTTCTCAGAATGATACTGCCACCCTCAGAGTGTATCTGTACCCTCGGTGCTGCATAATCCCCTCCTCTACGTGTTCCTCCCACGCACCGAGACCTTTCAGAGTGAGTCCGCTAGTCATTGTGACCCCTCCTCCCAAGGTGACTCCTCCCCTCAGCCCTTAACTGTAGGACCCCTTCTCAGCAGGTTCCGCCCCCCATCATTTAGGAGCCTTGTCTGACCGCCTCAGGTCGGAGGAGGAGCTTGCAGCCACCCTCTTTAAATCGGCTCAGGGGTCCGGAGTGCGCATGCCCAGTCTAGGGACTCTGCATTCGCAGCACCCTACGCCTCCGGTTCTGCCGCTGGCTCCTCCTCCGGTCATCGCGGGAATAGCCAATCTTCGTCAAGATTGGGTGACGTCACTGGATCCCGAAGGCTGGTTCCAGTGGAGCGGTTCCGGCGTTGTAGACCCTCCTGCCACCTAGCGGTGAAATGGAGGGTGGCGGGAGTGGAAGCTGCGGATCCCGCTAGCTGTCGCAGTTTTGAGGGAGCATAATTTTTTTGTTAGAAATTTAAAGCGATGTGTTTTTATTTCTGTGGTGCATTAAGAAGAAAATGAATGTAAACAGCCCACATCGCGCGGGTCCTTGTCACACGTTTATGAGAGTTGGAACCAAGTAGTACTCTTTACTTGACAAGGGCTAACGAGAAGCTGGGTGCTTGTCGCGGTGATCCGTACAAGGGAAGGTATCCCACAAGTTTGGAGAGAGAGGAAGGGAGTCATTTACAGTCCTTCCAGAGTCAGTGGAGAGAGGCTGCAGGCGAAAGCAACCCTGCCTAAAGCATGTTCATTTCTCCAGAGGCATTTGATCTCAGCAAAATATGCTTAGCAAACACCTTAAATTAAGGTTAACCTCTACAACTATATGAATTTACTTTCTATAGTTATGTAAGGTCTATAAGCACTAGAAATTAATTTGTTATTTTATTTTATTTATTTATTTTTGGTACCGGGGATCGAATTCTAGTCCTTGCACTTGCAAGGCAGGCGGCGGAATCACTGAGCTAAATCCCCAGTCCTATTAATTTGTTATTTTAAGTAATGTCATAGATAGCTTAATCGACACGGGGTTCTGATCCTTTATCCAAGTTTAAGTCCTTGTAGTTGGCCATAGTAATTTTAAGTCGAAGAGCCAACCAGGTGCTTGCTTTTAGAAAGATCAATGTGGTGGTTGTATGGAAGCTGTGGGACTGACTAGGAAGGAAGGTGTCACCATGGTTCTGTCGGTGGAGGATGGGGTGAATTAGATAGAGATAATAAAGGACAGGAGGAAACGTTCGACTAGTATGGGAGATACCCTGGGAAGTTTTTGGGATTGATCTTATCCAAAGTCAGTCAGCCTTGAGGAAAGTACCTAAACCAGGTTAAGTTTCAAGTTTCTACTTTAGATACTGGGTAACATCAACCAAGACAATCCAGGTGGAAAGGCTGGGGTGGGTGGAAGGTCTGGTGAGGGGAGAGGCCATCACCCAGCTGGGTGTGTGGAGGGAGAAGCAGGGCCCGCTTTCTCAGGCGTGAAGGCAGGTGAAAGTGCAGCTTTCATGTAGCTATGATGCCAGTGATTCTCCTGTGACAATTCGGGCCAATTGTGCTTTTGTCTATATCCTTGCCCTCTCCCCCAGTCAGTTATTGATTGGTGTGTATTTCCGACATTATATCATCAGTTAACGTTTCAGTATATTATCTCTAAAGGATGATTCTTTAAAACCAAGTCACAGTATCATTGTCAGACCTTAAAACCCCCAACTCTTCAGGATCAGTTATCCAACTGCTCACTTTTTCCTGTTGTCTTATGTTTGAAAAATTGTTTATAGTTATTATAGTTATATTATAATTAAGTTTGTTTCAAAAATTGTTTACATCTAGATCTATATAAGATCCATTCTTTGCATCTCCATTCTCTGATATGTTGCAAGCTTTTAAAAATCTTTTAAATCCACTCCCCAATGTTTTCTTCCCTTATTATTATTTTTTTGTTTTGTTTTGTTTTTTGGTACTGGGGTTTAAACTCGGGACCTTGTGCTTGTGAGGCAGGTGGCAGCACCACTGAGCTAAATCCCTGGCCCTCCCTTATTTATTTTTTTAAAGAAACCCCTGCCATTTGCCCTGTAGTTTCTCAAAATCTGAGTAAATTAGTGCCTCTTTCAGTCCCCCACATTTCATGTAAACTTATGGTCCTTTAATCAGATTTAGATTTGATTGTTTTGGCAAATTTGATATATGGGTGGTTTTAGTACTCCTGCTGGGATGTATGCAATGATGGTCTTTTTGTGATGTTAGTAACTGATGATTATCATTGTCCGGACCATGGTTTCTCAGCCCTGGTACTGTTGATATTTTGGAACAGATAATTCCTTAATTATAGGGGCTATCCTATGTCTTATGATATCTGTAGCATTTTTTCCCCCCACTGTCACAATCAAAAATGTCTCTAGACATTTGTACTTGTTCCCTGGAGGGCAAAATTGTCTCTTATTGAGAATTACTAGTCTGGGTTAATTAATGTGGAAGTTAGAAATAACATTCTTGTTCTATCATTTTTCTGTTTTAGGTAGATTATTTCTATAATGAGAACTTTTCCATTGTAACTATTTGTTATTCA